TTGGTAACGGAGTAACAAGGATGTGGACGGAAAGATGACATTTGATGAGGTCATCGTCAGCAGAAGGGCTGATTTGCCGGTTTTGTCAAGTGGAGAGGCTGATTTGCTCTATTTTTAGGTAGAGGGGCTGATGCGCCACAACAATGGACGTAGAGGGGCTGAATTTCACCTTCTGCCTTTTGAATAAGATATCATAGTTAAAAACAGTGAGATTTCTCGTCAACAATCTTGATATGAATGATAGTAACTCGATTTTTTTTAAATAAGGTTTCGAGTTTAAATCTTGTGAATAGAGAAATAGACGTTAGAAGAATTTTTCATAATAAAATCTGACGTGACTCAATTTTGGATTAATGAAAATTCAATGTGGTTACCAAATACTGAAAAATTAATATATATATATAAAAATAAAAATAAATAAAAAAACAGTGAGACTCCTTAAAAAAGTATTACATACATATATATATATATATATATATATAAACAGTGAGAGATAAAAAAGACAAGACAAGTCACATGAAAGTAGAAGATGAAATCTCTTCAGGAAAAATGGAAAACTTTAGAGATTAAATGAAGCCAAACCAATAACCAAAAACTTGTGGCGTCTGCCATAGCCAGGTAACCTCTCTCTGTCAACTGAAACCTACATTGCATTTCACATCAGACAAAACTTGTGGCCATGCCGATCAATATTGATGATGAGCCCCCAACTAGGTCCCAGCTGCTCCTATTACTTCGTACCCTAGCAATTTCCTTGGATCATGACATCCACATGCACCATCACATGCACCTCCTCCCTCTACAATCACTACTCTTGACTCTTTCTGGCCATCTTCTTTCCTTTCCATCCATTGTTTTGTTTGTCCTTCTATCCAAACAACCACATTTTGAAAACAATCGAAACAGAGGTATCTAAGGTATCTAGCATCTACTACCAGATCTATTGGTAATACCCACCATGCCCCCATCAAGACTGGTGATCAAGTGAAGGCTGTCCAAAGCCTTTCCACGTGTCAAAATCCTTTTGGGTAAGTAAATGAGGAAAGACACTCTTTGGCCAATTTAAGCAACTGATGTTCATTTGGGTTTCTTTCCATCTAAACACTGTGCCCAGCAAACAAAATTTTTAACAGTACAAGTTAAAAGGGACTCCTGTTCCCTGTCTCTACTTCTGATATTTTTTTCTCTTTCTTTTTACATTTGCCCGGCCAAAACATTGTTTAGGTTTTAAGAAAATCTTTTACCTTACTAAACATACTACCTTTTCAATTCGAATCCATAAAATTGAGTGCAATGTGTCAAGTTTGAATCCAAACCCTCTCAAAAGGACATTATCTTATGTAACAGATCCAAGATTTTTACTAGAGAGCTCAAACATTATGCTCAGCTTAACTAAGAGTAACTTGTTTATAACAATCTTATTATCTATATATGTTAAAATTTATTAAAAACCTAGTTTTCTTTAATAGGAAAAACACATTAAAATCAATTTTAATGTTTAGTACAATTCCATCTCGATTTTCAAGGAAAATGTTTCTTTCTTCCTACCATAGCAAGAAATGTAGTGTTGAACTACCTGTTTTGAAATATCCATGAGTTTGGGGTCAAAAGGTTCTCTTGAGGTGAAATCTCTGTATTTCAGAAAAATGCCTCTGGACTGAAGTTGGAGTTGAATCAACATCAAAGTCCATATTATGGTGCAGGCATTGCACCACGGTACGTTTTGCTGCCTCTCCATTTTTGAGCAACACAACAACAGCACAGTGACCTTCACCAAACAATTAAGTAATTAGGTACGCAGCACTGAATTATCGGAAAAGCAAAGGTTACAAAAATCGTTTTTCCGATTAGTTTGTACAGGAAACAATTTAATACAGGTCAGAATAGTCACAACTACTTGCATCTTCAAACCCCTGACATCTAGTTTGCAACAAGTAATGAAAAACTGTCAATTCCCTTTGCAAGGTATGAATGCAAGTGAGTGAGCAATAAGGATATCCTCTCTAGTAAGAGCATGGATATTCATTTATTCTGGCCTTACTTGGGAACATATGGGATTCTCTCATCATGCCTGCAGGAATGGGACCTTGGACTCAGCAATGGTGACATTAAATTATCTTCGAACTAAGTAGTTAGTGGTCAATCCTTCTCCTGACAAGAACCCTTTTGTGAGTGTAATTACACTCATGGATCGAAACAGGTGGTATGTCCCGGTAGGGGATCGGCCAAAATTCTGACATCAATAATACTATCTTTTTGTCCTATGAACATCTTTCTTTTTGTTTGCCATAGTGAAAGTATCACTTGCCAAAAGAAAGAGAAAGCAAGAGATAATCAAAACCAACGTCCTGTTAACTAATTAGAAGACATTGTTAAAAGCAGGAAGAAAGCAAGCTTCAGTTCCAATTATGTCATTATTAAAAAAGGTTGCTTTTTTTTATAAATATGAAAGGTTGGGTACATATGGCAGGTAGCATCTGCTGATGTGGCAAGCACTGATTGTGAAATCTATATGCTTTATAAAAACCTGCACCAAATTGGAGCTGCAAAAAGAAGAGCAAGATTTACAAGAATTAAATCCAACTCAAAAATCATATCACACTCATTCATGGCCTCTACAGCCATGGAACAATCTCCTTATGGTTCAAGAAGAGATGAACCGGACTTCAATTTAAGAGAGTGGGCTGTCAAGGCTAGAATTAGCAGGGAAAACACTAGTTCAAGAAGATATTCAGCATCATATGTCAGAAGTATTAGAGAAGATACAAGGTCTTTTAGATCAAACATTACCATTTCTAGCACTGCCTCCTCTCCAGGGTATCCCTTAAAAGGTACCACAGTTTTTTCTCTTTCTTTTCATGCAAGAAAAATTGGGTTTTTCTTGTTTCTTCCTTTTCCAGTCACTCCTTCTCTCAAACTCCAGTATCCTTTTTTGCAGATGAGATTGACCCGTCAACATATTCATTCACTACAGCTCTGAAAGGTAATTCTCGAGATCAACTGTTACATGTTTTGACATGTTTCTTCATACAATAAATGGAATTCATGGTGGTTTTTCTGCAGCATTGCAAGCAAGGTCGGCGTATAATTGTTGGGAATGTTTATCACCAGATGGTTTTTCTTTGAATTCCAAGTGGAATGAAGCAGAGAAGTATATTTGCAACCCTCTTTCAGGAGAGTTTCCAATGGAATGTTTATCTGCAAAAACATTAAGTGGAAGATCTTTCCGCAGCTTAACCAGCAGAATCACCATGTCTGCTCCTCTCATGTACTCTCATTCTCGACACATCCAAACAAAGCCTTCCAGGACTGTCCCAGAAGATGTATCTGAGTTCCCAACTCTATGTGTGGAAGGAAAAAGTATGTATTATTGTGCTTCTTCTTTATTCACTTGAAGTGTTTCTCTTAGTTGTCCTGAAGGTATTTGATATGTGTACGCAGAGAAGAAAGTGGTGGGGATGACTAGAGATGTGGGGACTCAAAGCACGCCCCCCGATCTTAGCTCCTCTAGTCCTAGCCCTACTTCAACGCCTTCAATCCCAGAGAGATCATTGAAGAGATGTGGAACGGAAAATGGAGATTCACCCAACTCTAATGCAAAGTCAAAGGCTGAAGATCAGGTATGCTCTTGATTCTTTGGATATTAACTATGCTTAGGAAGTTAAGACTTACTTTTTGATGGTTGGATTGAAGTACAATAGATGAATTATGAGGAACATAACCTAATTCATATCCCATTTCCTTTCCCTCCTACCAGGGTGCAATAACTTGAACTCATGACCTCTTTTTTCGAAAGGAAATGTATTACACTACTAGATTATTAGGCCTTTGGCCATTAACACTTTTAGGCCTTTTTTTTTTCCCCTTTTTAGTAGAACAGTTTTATATTGTTCATCCAAAATTACCTGTTTTGATGAATTCTAGAACTTTCAGATTGCACTTCTATATGCTTCTAAATTCCACCCATTCCAGGTAATTTTAGGTATAAATTTCATTGTCCCCTGTACTAGGTCTAGCACCCAGCCTGCTTCAAATCTATATAACATCAAAACTATGCACAAGAATAAACAAATAAAAGCTGCTTCCTCAGTCTTCATATCACACCAGTTGGGTTCCTATTTGGTTATTACCTCACTGGTACTGCTTTCAAGATGAGGCAGAGAGGGTTGCCTGATTAGGCTCATCAAATTAAGGGTGAAAGAAAATTGTTGGATACTTGGATTAATCGGTCCCCTATCCTAGTTCTGGAAGGACACATGTGCCCCAAATGTAAATAGGTTCCAATTGGCCTAAGATCTTTTTTTTTTTGCCCGCAGTTGTTTCCTACACAAATAATTGAACTGAGCCGTTCCAAAGTGGGGGACTAACAACTATTGGTCCCTCTAAGGTGATGGGGACATACACGCCACCCCATTTGCCTATGTAATCCAAAACAACCCTCGAAAATTTTGATCCCAACTAACCTACTTTCCACCACACAGTTGTATTGGTTGGAGAAGCAGCGTTTTATGGGGCACAAAGTATTTTTCTCCTTTTTCTTTTTCAGAGAAAGGAGAAACAGATGTAAGCTACAAAACCCTTCTTGGATTAAAGGAAAAAAGTCAGAAAAAAAAAATTGCAAAAACCAAGTTACAATTCAAAATTTACTCCCCTCCTCTTTTGAACCACACTTGTTCTCTTTTTCACCCTTCTTTTGTTTTTTGTGGATTCCCCACAAAGACGCTCCAAAACAAATGCTTCAACTATCAACAAGATTCTTAACTTTTTGGAGTTTGCTTTCGCTTTTCACCCTTTGGGGTTCTCAATGAAAATGGCATATCACTGCTCTTTTTAGGTTTCTTCATCTCTCAGGAAAAATGTCCATGTCACTCAGAATCATGACTGGTAAAGTTAAACTATGTATCGTGCCACTTACAAATTGCTGTATGATTGCATTTTATACTTGATATTGCTGTTACCTCAAGTTCAGTAGTTGAACTTCGAACCACTTATGATATAGGTAACTAGATTAATCCACCCGACGTATTATAGACTTGGACACACCCCATTTACAAGTGATATTCTTATGTGTCGTCGAGTATATGCATGTATATAATATAATACATATTTGTCCAATGAAAATGCCTTAATTCAGTAAGGAATCAGTAAAATTTCTAAGTAGAAATATTTTAATTGGACTAAGATATGTATTCTCATGACACAACAACCTTTTCCCCATTTATATATTTATTTAGAACGGGACAATCCATGCATCATTTAAAACATCCATTTTTTAATGATTTGACTACGCAATGAGGAAAAATTCTTACATTTATCTTAATTCTTCCCTCATTTTGGATAGGATTCAATTCCTATTCTTTGATATGACCATCGAAAAAAGCTATTTTAAACAAAGGTTATTTGATTTTATTTGTACATTTTAATAAGAGATTTTTAAGCTAGCAAAATGATTAATGCATGGCTTCAACAAAGTGATTTCTTACTTTCGTTGGATTTGAAGTGATTATAAGCATGCAAATTATTGAGGTGTTTAATAAAGTGACATCAATGATTTCATGAATAATGATGAGCACAGAAAAGTATGATATTTGATGTGAGAGCTTGTTGGTGAATGCAGGTTGAAACGAAGGAACCTAGGGAGCAAGAAGAAGAAACAAAAACAGAGAGCGAAGAGAGGAGGAAGAGAGAAAAGCAATTGTGCTACAGGTGCAACAAGCAAGGTGGGTGCTTCTCATGGATGAGAAAAAGGCAAAGGGAGAAGCAGAAATCAAGAAAGATGAATTTCTTTCTCCCCCATTTTAAAAGACGCTTAAAGGGGGAACTAAAGATGGAAAAGAATATTGAAGGAGATGAGGGTGGTTATTCCATTTAGATTTT